TCACGAATGAATCGACATTTGTCGAACAATTATTTAACCCCATTGACTGTTTAATGCTCAGAACGACACACTTAGATACTGCTGCTTTTCACTTCGAGTAAAATTCTGTCCAATTCTAGTTTGAACGAAAGACGCGTTGAGCGTGCATTTCAACGAATGAAAATTGTGTTCTCTAATAGTTGTATCGAGAATTGTGAAGTGTGGTCGGCGGTGGTGCCGAGCGATTAATTGGCCCGCGATCGATAATTCATGCAAAACCAGCAACGATTAATCGGTGTACGCGGCGCGATATTGAATTCACGGTTAAACAAGGGGCATCGCGTTGTTCCGCGACTTGACACCCTGTAAAATTATTAACACACGCAGCACGCGTCCCCCTCGGTTGTTTATCATAAACAGCGAGAGAGTCCGGCCGAGTTTGTTCAGGGAAACGCTCGGTCGCGCCCGTTTCCACCCCCTGGCAAACGCGCGTACCCACTCCGAATTTCCATTACTTAATTTTCGACGTGTGTGATTTGTCGTGCTACCGTTTTCGTGAGATTCGAACCGATTTCGCGATTCAACATACCCGTCCATTTTGCGTTCGTCGATGTAAAGCCGTAATCGTCGTTGAAAATTTCTTGGTCGTTGAAGGGTTGAAGGATCAAAGTTGCGATCTGTCGAAGGAAGAATTGAAAAATTTGAAGATTACCACTGCTTATGGAACGACCAGAGATTTTTCTAAGTATCATTTTCTCGTTGAAGATTCGTATAATGTTTCGTTTGATGTTAGAAGAAAATTTGGAGAGTTACCGAATCGAGAAAAAAGGAAGAAAGTGGGCCCTCGTATCGTTTAATGGATTTTCTTGGGTCCAGCAGTTTCGGTTCAGGGTCCAATGCTGCCAGTCCTTCGATATTCAAAAGAGACCGACGCGTCGCGACGTCGCAAGCGACCAATTCGCTATATTAGAACGCACTTCGCACTTGCCTGAAAAATAACTAGTTACGTCTCAATGGTCACCGCAAAATCACTCATTTTTCCGCGTATTCAAACGCCAAGTCGTGATTCTACAAATACAGACGTTTTTCGACGCTTCCTCTGTCTCCTTTTTGTCGTGTTTTTCTGGGGTTTTCAGCGGTATTCGAAACTGTCAATAACAGTCGATAACATAAAATCAATGAATTTCATTCCTTCGCTTCGTCATGAACCCAGAAAATATGATTTTTTGCCAATTGTACGACAAACTGAAGATGTTTTCTTGAAATTCACGACGGCAGCCCCATTGAAACTCGGATATCTATACTCATTACAGCCTAACTCTCTGTTTTATGTAACGATTTCACCGGAAAATACGTTTTTCTATAAATACCGATGACAAAAATGCCAAGAATTCACTATTCAATCAAGATTTCTTGTCCTTTAATATGAAAATTTTCATGCTGTGAGCCATGACGAAGTCGGGCCTTAGAAAATCCCTCGAAATTTTCCCCTGGGAAATTTCATTTCACTCCTAAACGTTGTCTAAAACAACTATATCGCGTTTTTGGCAGAAAAGAACAGATAAACAAAAAACCACATTCTCGTGACAAAGAACACCCCAAATTGTCACGACAAGGAATATTTGGAGCACGATATGCGTAGAGAAAAATGTAAGTACCTACGTTGAATATATATTGTTTAATATCTCCATAGAAGTCGACCGATAAACACCTTGGAGACAGAAGGGGAAGCTCCGTGAAAATCTTTGGATCGTTTCCGGAGCGTCGGCGACGGTGTCGGCGACGACGAAACGAGGCGACGGCATCGATCGAATTAATCCTAACCTGATTATTCCCCTGAAAATCCGATCTCTTTTTATTACGCTCGTTTAATATTCATGGGTCTCCGACTCGGTTAATTATTCGATGCGATAAATGGTTAATTCGAACAAAATCGAACGAAAACTGCGGATTAATTAGGTGATTCGATTCCGAGGGGGTGGCAAACGGGACCGGAAGTTAGTCCGAGGGCTGAACGGACAGCGATAATTTGGAATACTTTTTACGATAAGTACTTAGAATTACGAAATTCGGGAGAAGAACACCATGTTTTCCTTGAAATGTATTGTATGTATGTGAGAACCTCAATGTTCTGGCTAGAGATTTGAGCATCGAACGACGAATCCACATGCTTTAATTGAATCGTAAATTTTAGCGAGTTCGTGTGCAAATTTCTATAATTGTTCTGATTGAATATCGTGGCCGATTTGTCACGATTAAATATTAGAAGACCTTTTTAAAATAACCATTAAAATGACTCTGTTTCTATTCGCGCTCTAATTCGCGATCTAAATTGGACAAACACTCGATTTACTTTTACAAAATCTAAGATACTTGTATAAAACAACTTGTATAAATATAAGGTACTAGGAGGGGAGGTCGTTGAACTATTAATTTAAGTGCGTGCGTCAATTCACTCGAATACTCGTCGAACGGAATGAAATATTTGACAAACGACAATTTATACGATTCTAGACGCACGTCGTTAGAAGATTAATCTATACGAGTTATTTCTAATTATAGAATGCTAAATATCGATTTTTCCCTCGAAACGTTAATTGCGGAACCAGACGAAGTAAACACACGACCAGATCCAGGACTAGTTTTTATCGTGCTCGTTTCATTATTTCTCCTGACTAATTTTCCATTTACGTTAACGAACACGAAATTCTTAATTAATCGTCAACGCACATTCTACATCTGATCAAACCTCGGGATTATTAGGTCAACAACCACCGTCGAATCGTTCGAATCGTCAAATTCGAGATAAATAACTAGCACGTTCGATCTTCGAGTCGATCGTCGCCGTGAACGATCGAACATCCTTCTCGTTAACTGAAAAATTAAGTAGAGACGATGGAAGACGATTTAATATAGAAATTCCACGATTTTCGTGTTTCTTTATGTTAGAATTTTCTATCAGAAACGTTGCAACGACATCGGAAGAAGGAGAGGTATCTAAAAAAAAAAAAGAATGGAACAGAAGGAACGAATTATGTTCGATTTCCAAGGAACACGGAATTCTCGCGACTCGTGTCTACCGTCGGTGCACGGGAAGTTCCACCCTATGTATCTTTCGTGACATTCTGCACCCTCTGAAATAATGAAATAAAAATTATCGACAAGCAAATTTATAGGAAAAGTTCTACTCTATGATTTCCAACGAATATTTTTTGACGACGATTTCATTTACGACGATCTACCAGAGGATGCCATTCCTCCAGTCCCATGAATTCAACACACAAAAATATCAATACTATCAGGACAAACAAAAAACCTCCTATTCTTCGATTATCTCGAAACGATCACAAGAAGATCCAACCCCTCCCATACCCCTCGAAACCCGACGGACCGCGATATACGTTCGCGACAGGGACTCATCGCAATCGTGGGTCAAGCAAGAACGAACCTCTGTTGTCTTGATCGTCGCAGCATACGGATCCACTTACACACCTCTGTTTCCCCGCTCGTTCGTTCCGTGGTTGTCCACGGGGATGATATCGGCGGGAGCCGTCGCGAGGACGAAAACGCGACGATCGTCGACCGAACTCGTACTGCACGATCCGCGATAAATGGGGAGGATGGACTGGGCCCGAAAACGGAAGAAAGCGTCGCGTCGCGTCGTTTCGGCGGTCTCTCAGCGCGCGGAACGACGACGCGCGACGCCGCCGCCGTCGCGCGCGGCTCTTGCGATAGGTGTCAAACGCGTGGCGGACTAGACAGTTGACATGACATGGTGTAGAGGAGCGTAGGCGGCGAGCCATCGGGCACGTCGTATCGCGGAAAACGGGCGCGTCGGTTGCCGGGGCGTCCTGCGGGATTGCGCAAGCGGACGACGCGCAGCTGCGCGATCCCTTCGGCCCCGACGCGTGGAGAAGCCGTCCGAGCGAGCGGAGCGCATTATCGCGCCACCGATTCACGCGATACGAAGGGGGACGGTGGACCTAACCGAAGACCTAACCTCCCTCCCTCCCCCGCCCCCTACCCAACCGTATTTCATTGGCCGGCGCTGGTCAGTGGAGGGGAGCGACGCGACGCGATACGACGGCGCGACGGTTAGGGGCGTGGCCACGGGCGCCGGGAGTGGGATGTGTTTGAACAAGATCGGGAGACTCAAGAGTGGCGGAGTACACTCGCTAACCGGCCTCCATCCACACGGCACACAGAGAGACAGACACTGGGTGAATGAGGGAGAGTGGAGGTGAGGCGGCTCAAACAGGCCCCGCTCAAACAACCGATCCTTGTGTGTTCAGAGCCCTCGTTGGGTGAAGCGAGTTCGCGGCGACCAGCGCCGCGCCGTATACCGTTCTGCTAAACGTGTGTGGTAGTCTAGCCGCGTCGCGCGTTTGTTGTAACCAACGCGCAGCGTTCGACAATCCCGTTGGATCCGTCGTCGTCGTCATCGAGTGGCTGTTTTGTTCCGGGGCGACGCACACCCACCGACGGTGCACATCTCAGTGAATGATTATCGCCTGCTGCCCGTGGGGTGACAGGATCGCAACACGACCGTTCCCCCGTCGGTCGTCGTGGCGTCGTATTAATCAGTGTGACCCGTTACGGATAATATTTCGTCGCTGTGTGTATACGGAATCTTTGGTGTCGGTCTGAGATCCGCGAGAGGAAAAAAAATAAATAAATAAAACGGAACGGTGTTTGTAGACTAGCTGACAAGTGTGAAGTTATTTCGTTGGTGCGACACAGGACTTTATTCGCGGATAGACGCTGTAGTGAGAGAGAAGGTGTGTACCTATCCAAGTTGTTGACCCTCATCGGGAAGTTCCTCTGTGACGAAAGGGTGTTGTCCAGTGAAAGGGGGCTAGAAGTGTGGAAAATATAAGTAAACGTCGGCGACAGCGATTGCCGGGAACGGGGATAAGATTAAGGGACCGGGGTCGCACTACCAGCAGCCGTGGTACCGGGGCTTTCATGATTCCCGTTTGACGGGCAGACAGCAGCCTGCCATCCCGGCACCGGTGAGCTCTATGACCATGCTCCAGTCCCAGAAGCTGTACGGCGACGCGGGCGGTTTAGGCGGCGCTATGACCAGCGCCGCGATGACCAGCGCCGCGATGTCCACGATGGGCAGCATGGCGCCCACGTACAGCTCGATGAACTCGGTGGGCTGCGTCTCTATGGGGATGTCTATGGGGGTCGGTGTCGGGCCGAGCTGTAGCCCCCAGGGTGCCGGCGGCTTTAACATGGGCAGCATGGGCACCGCAATGGGGATGGCCTCGATCGGCGGCGGCGCCATGGGAGGTTACGGTAGCGCCTCGATGGGCGGCGGAACCGGTTGCATGTCCGCCGTCGGTTACGGCCCATTGACACCGGCTGGCTCTGGGTCGGTCACCCGTGATCCGTTGTCGTTGACGGAACCTGACTCCCCGAATTCCGCGTTGCAACGGGCCCGAACCGACAAATCCTATCGTCGTAGTTACACGCACGCGAAACCACCGTATTCTTACATCAGCCTGATCACGATGGCGATCCAAAACGCGCCGACGAAGATGTTGACGCTATCCGAGATCTATCAGTTCATCATGGATCTGTTCCCGTTCTACAGACAGAACCAGCAACGCTGGCAGAACTCGATCAGGCATTCGTTGAGCTTCAACGATTGCTTCGTTAAGATGCCACGTACACCGGACAAACCGGGTAAAGGATCGTTCTGGACGTTGCACCCGGAGAGCGGTAACATGTTCGAGAACGGATGCTATCTACGACGTCAGAAGAGGTTCAAAGACGAGAAGAAGGAACTTACCAGACAGACGAATAAACACCAACAACACCAGCAACATCATACCTCGGCCGAGGTGGCGGTGGCCGCGGCTGGTCACAGCAGCCCTACCTCTATCGTACGGGCGAACGCCGCAGGTGGTAGGAAAACCCCCTCGTCCCTTCATCACGGGCCCCAACAGCCGGACGACAAGGACCTCCACTCGTTGGTCTCCTCGCATCATCATCATCATCATCACGCGGCCGCTCTCCACCAACATCACGCCAATCTGAAGAGCGACGCGACGGACATAGGTGGTCTGCTTGGGCCTGATCTGGGCGCGGCGGCTCACGACGAGCTCACCGCCATGGTCAGTCGTAGTCTTCATCCGCATCTGATCTCCGATCCGGCCGCCCTTCATCACGGTATGACCGGTAGCCTGAAACAAGAACCACCGTACACAGCCGCCAGTCATCCGTTCAGCATCACCAGGCTACTCCCAGGTGCCACGGCTGGCACATCTCCTGGTGCACAGGACACCAAACCGCCAGAGATGAAGATGTACGAGCAGCTGCACCAGAGCTACGCGAACTTCGGCACCTCGTCCCATCATCCTCACGCCCATTCAGCTCCAACTGGGCATCATCATCACAACGGCAGCATGCACACGGGCTCGAACGCTGGCGGTCCTATGCACAACATGACCAACCATCATCATCAGGAGTATTACCAGAGTCCACTGTATCATCACGCGACCAGCGTGGCGAGCAGTGGCGCGCCACCACCGCCCTCCGTCGCCACAGCTGCACCGGGATTGTGACACCACGCCACCCACCCCTATGCCCTCGCCTGAGTCGCTGCCGCCGCGGCCTACGCCGCCAACATACCATCATCGAACACCTCGAACGATCTTGTTCTAACCAACGCTACGCCCCAACATCATCATCATCATCATCAGCATCGTCATCATCCTTCGTTGTCGTCCACGTTCACCACCGTCGCCACGTCGCCCTCGTCGTCCTCCTCTTCAACGTCCCCGAATGTTTCCCAGCCGTCGTCTGTCCAAGTGTCGTCGATCAGACCACCGTTGCCGATCGTTTCGCGACGTCGACGACGGTGCGAGGTGAACGAGACCGTGACCTGCTGGACGGTACCTGGTGGAGAGTACGACGACGACGAGGAGGACGAGGACGAGGAGGACATCGTGTGAAGACCACTGAAGTGTCGAACATTTGTTTTGTTTCGGGGGATGATGATGTCCTACATCGATGATGATGCGCCTGGCTGGCTCGGTGGACGAACAAGGCGTGACACCACGCGTAGGTATATTACCGTATATTCACGTACACTACCGGTTCACGAATGTCCAGGACATGATACACTACTTTCACTGGTTTTCAGTGAATTAGAATATCGTTTACATTGCTGTTCAACGGAATTAATAGTCATTCTTTGGTTTATTTTCAATAGTACTGGGGTTCTCTGATCTGTTAGACGGTTAAACTTAACTCTTTGCACTCTAAGGTTTTTTTTCTACTGGGGAACAAACTCCGCAATATTTGTAAAGAAAAACCTAAAGAGATAATATTATACTCGAATTGAAAGTAACTTTTTCATACAGAGTTTTTACCTTACACCCTTCAGTGCAAAGAATACACCCGTTAGAATGCAAAGGGTTAAATTAATTGTAACCGAACGCCTGCATCGTCCTACTGACGTGTGCTTTCTGAAGTCCGAAAAGGGCAGACTAAACTTTGTTCCTTTAGTATTATATTCCATGTATACCTTTTCATTCGACTTTGGTTACAGTACTATTATTGATGTTGTTTCTTAATAAATATCACTTTCATCTTTTAAAACAATTTAACACATTCACTTTTGATATGACAAAATTGTAAAAATCAATAGATATTTCGTACAAGAAATATTTACAAATATTTCTCAGAATATATTTCCATGGATTTGTCCGAATACTTCTGAACAGTAGTGTACGTACACCATTATACCTTATATTCGGTAATTTCCGTAGACTGTTGATAATTCTGAGTGTTCATTGCATCAGGGTGATTCATAAATATCGATTCATAAACATCACGTGTATCAATCTGTTTTGTTTTGCAACAGAGAAAAAAGAAAACGAGTGAAATATACACGAATTAATAATTATAATCGAGAGATGTCAGTTTACACAATTCTGGGAGAGCTTTGGCGGATAATTATCGACACTGCACGGTGCATCGATAATTATGAATCATCCTGGTACAATACGCTCGGATTCAACGGGAATGTTGTCTATCGAATAGGTTCGTTTTGGTACATTGGCGAAGGATTTACATCGGACGGCGTATAAACATCTGCAGTCTGGTAATCGGGGCAGGGTGGGGTGGTTGGGGGCGATTTAATTACTGTTCTGAGATGCAGCCGTGAGTCTGGGAACTCTGTCGCATTAGTGTTCACGGAGTAAATTCGAGGCCCCTTGTTGTTCGTGGAATTCCTCGTGGTCTCTGTGAATCTCTCGAATATGTCCGACCATGGTCGACAATTTTTCACTTGCTCTACTTTGAAAGAATTTTTATACACCCCTTTCTTTTCTCGCTTTAATGTCTTGAAATTCGATTCATTATCCCGAATTCCACGACGATGCATGGTCTTCGTATTGCCGTCGACGTTTCCCATATCGGATAATGAGCTTGAAAAGGATCCCCAAGAAGCGTTTCTACTTCGACCTTTCATCTCTAAATTATCTTACGACTACATTTCTTTAACTGCTCAAGGACCCGACTTATTTTACAAAAACCTGACAAAGAATCATCTATCTTTTTTGGACGATTGATTTAATAAGACGATATGCCCAATAATATATTATTATTAAAATCGGCAGAAAAGTTCTTAGTAAGAAGAATCGCCTCTCTAAAAATACCAAAATCTAACGATTGAAAATAAATTAACGATAAAAAGGAATTACTCTTTTTATTAAAAAATGTGTTAACGATGTGTGTCCTTAAGTGGTTTGAAGGTGTAACATTCTATCGTCGTGATGGAAAATTCTGAAATTCAAATGAAATCGTAGGACGATGGATCTTTTCAAGTTGATTTTCGCCTCGAGCGTTGCCGCCAGATCGACGTTCTCGCGAGGAATCGCGCAACTCTCACGATAACAAACGCGATCCAGAAGCGAAAAAATAATAATCGAGACGCCGATCGAGCGCCACCTCGAGTGTCTGTGACTCACGGCCGCGTTTAGATACGAGGTGTTATAACGCGATTCTCCAGAGAAGAGAAAAAGAAAAACGGATGGAAGAGTGTCCGTCGCGCGGTCGCCCCGAGACGCGCGATCATTAACCGACATCACGTTCGCCCAGGATCTTTTTACGATTTCTCTAGAACAGCGGTTCCCAAATCGATTCTGACTTGCGTACCACTTTGGTGCGTGACAAGTTACAATAGTGGTACAAGCTAGGCGATGGTCCAAATTAGTCTACCTTCTCTTATAGTTCTTTCAATTTTCTTCATGTACCGGGAGGCAGCTAATTAACCTAAATTATACCCCCTAGTATTAGAATTTAGTAATTTCAATTTTTCTTCTGCATACCCCTAAAACACTAATAAGGGAACGGTACAATATTAATACAGTTAAATATTAGGGTACAACACTCGATAATTTTAAAGATACAAACAACAATAAGTTACGAGCCTTTAAAATATACTATAAATATAACTCAAAGTTATCGAAGTTGTATTAGTAAAGTGAAAGAAAAATATTTCGATGGAACAGGCATCGATCCTAGGGTCTTCGATTTACCTGTCGTACAATCTTATACAGTAAAGACTCGATCAGAGTTGTCTAGGAAATTCCTCTTGAGAGTTTCTACTTCATCCTCACTATTGGGGAGGCGAGGCCATGGAACGTGCCAAGCGCATAGTTTATTGCCCTCCTATTTTTGTTGACTTCATGGTGCACCGTGAAAGTTTTGGAAACGGATCCGAGCTTCAAACTCTCATGGAGTCTTTACTGTACTTCGATAAATTTCACTTATATTCATAGGACACCTTAAAGGTACGTAACTTTGATTGTTTATACCTTAAAAATTATCAAGTGTCTACACCTAATATTTCACATGTATTATTAGGTATCTCTATCATCTTACAAAAGCCCTTGTTAAAATCGAAGTCGGCCATTTGGGGCCATTTCCTTTTAAGCACGTACGATCGGAACCGCTGTTTTAGGAACTGAAGATCCATCCAGGTGACTCGCGACGGTTTTTCCCCCGGGATATGGCGGTTTGGTTTTCTGTGATACACGCGACAACGATGCGCGGAGGCGAATTTGTCCGGAGCAAGAAGTCCGTTTCGTTTCGCGTCTTCGTTTCTCGTTTCGAGGCGCGGACACCGGTCGGACCCGCGGAGCGGATATCACCACCTCCCCCCGTTCCTCTCGCGATCATAAACGAGAGCTGTTGTGCAATTTCCTTTATTCGACGGGAGGAGGTTGGGAATTCGAGGGACTAAATGGTCCCTGGGAGGCAGTGAGGCGCGAATTCTTTCCCTTGTGTCTCGAGAAAATTGTGTCGATGTTCGTTGGAAGTGTTGGTATTTTCGCCACGAAGGGGTTTGTGGGTAGAATTCAACCAGATCGAGAGGGTTGATTCGGTTTTTATCTGCAATTTTTTTGAGAAACTGGAAGAGAGTGATCATTGACGAGTAAAGTCACGAGTTAGTTAATCGATTTTATGGTTTTGTTTCGGGGCGTACGGGAAATTTAGAGTATAGGTTGTTGGAAATTCTTAGGGTTCTATGAGCCTGAAGGGAAATCAACTCAAACAATTGTCACTAACGATGTGACCTCAATATTATACGTAAATCGTAAACGTAATTCATCAAATTTATACGTAACATTTCTTTATCCTTAACATGAATAGAGAGACAAGTTTCAAACTCCATCACACCAATTTCTGTTACACTCTTCGTACACTCAGTTTCACTGTACAAGCTCGAGAAACTTGTCTGATATCTTGAATTCAAAATTCTATCAACATCTTATCGCTATAGATCGATCAATTAATTATAGTTCAATCGGTGAATTCCACGTGGTCCAACGACATCCGTTGCTGGTCTTAACAAAATGTTGAAATTACACAGAGGACTGCTATACTGCCCTCCTTACTTTAATTGTCTTACCTGAAATGAACTTTTACAATTTTCTTTGTCCCCTCCTTGTTTTCCATTGTAAGCCATTCTTAATACAGGAAACGGTTTAAATCATGATTATTTTACTTTTTTACATTACTATCTTGAACATAAATAATCACGACATAAACATCAGTCACAACTTAGGACTGTCTAAGTTAGTAGATGTTACAAAGAACAATATAAACTAGTACAATCATTTGAAAACCAGTTAGAGTAAATAAATTATTTAACTAAAAACTGAAAAGCATATGGGGCTTCGAATATTTCGAAAAATCTTAAAAAACGATAATTTGTTAGATCGGACATTTTAAGTAAGGAGGACAGTATATCTCCTATCGTTTACACAAGGATGATCCAGAGTGTCTGACCATGATCGGCGCATTTCCCTGCGTTTTCGTCCACAATAATCGACAGACGAGTGTTTATCGTCGCGCGGTTCGATTGATACTAAAAATCCGATAGCAAAGGTCTTTTTAGGATTATCTGTTCCTTCGATGACACATCCCTCTTTCACCGGTCGTTGATCTCGATCGGTTTCCCTCGTACTCTGTCTCTTACGACGGTTGTTATCTCGCCACGTCCACGTCGGAAGGTTCGTTAATTCGACAATTAATCTTTATCTGGGGTTCGGAGGATCTCTCCGATAAGCCCGAGAATC